AGTGCTCTACTTGGCCAAATCCCTCCTGCCTCCGTTTGCCTCAGTGGGACAGGACTGGCCCTTGTCAGCCCAGGGGACCTGGCTGGTGGCTGGAGGGGTCCTGCAGCCCTGGGTACACCTTTCTCATCTTCCAGGAGGAGGACTACTTTGTGTGTGGCTGCAGCTAGTGCAGGTCCAGGTCAGTGGGAGCAACAGCCGGCAACCATCACCAGCAGCAAGTCCTGGCACCTTCCCAGCACTCAGGTCCTGTTCCTGGGCTGAATGTCCGCACAGGACGCTGGGTCTGGCTGCCAGCGCCCGGCCCCCTTGCTGCAATGCAGAGTGCTGTCACTGCCACCGCCTCCTCCTGTGTCTGCAGGCCAAGGAATGTGCGTTGGCCCTTCGCCTACAGCTTGGCTACTGCTTGTGGCTTCCTGCACTTTGCAGAAAGAAAGGGAGGTAGGGCTTACATTATCTGCTCTGCGTAGGGAAGCGCTAGGCTTCAGCCTAGACTAGTGCAGGGAGGCGTTTGCTCCAGGCAGGGACTTGTCCCAGGCCATGCAGGCTGAGGGCTGCACCCCAGCCCACACACATATCTGTGTTGTGTTGAGATGCTCCAGTTCAGAGGCTGACTGGTAATATATGGGATGCAGCCTGCCCCAGCCTCCCCCACTGTTCCTGCCCCTGCCAGCAGTGGGGTACTGACCCATGTCTCCCCAGGAAGAGACACTGGCAAAAAAACATTTGTTGATCAGAATGGGACACTTCAACAAGTTCCTCCCTGGCTCCCAGCATGGCCAGTGCCACCTGGCATGCCAGGGCCACAGCCTGCCTGCTGTGCTTTCCACCCTGGCAACAGTGGACTGCATCCAGAGAGCCAGCAAAGGTTGCTAAGGGAAGCAAGCTTACTTCCAGTAAGCAGAAGATTGCTATAGGTTTAAGCATGCTGCCTGCTATGGTCAGTCTGTACCTTCACTGAAGTGTTCAGAGAGTCCAAAACCTTGAGAGACTCCAGCCCCTGCCTGCAGTGTCTGTGCCTGCTGCAGTGCTGATTTAGCTCCTGGCCCGAACACACCCTCCCCCAGAACAGCTCTGAATCACAGCCAGCAAATCTGGGGAACCTCTCTTCAGCCTTTCTAGAGCACCCGAACTAAGCTGGATGGTGCCAGGATCAGCTGGGCAATGCAGGGATGAAGGTGCTGAACGCCCCGTGCTGTGCTCGCAAGCGGTGCCCCACGGAGCCGCAGGGGAGACTGCCCATCCCTGCAGCCTGGGCTGCGTCCCGGGGCTGGTGTGGGAGGGCTCGGGGAGTGGGCACCATGCTCCCACCATGCTCTCCTGGGAGTCCAAGTGTCCTCCACCCACAAGCATGAAGGCAACACTGCACTTGGCCTTACTGGGGCTGCCTTGGCCCCTTGGGTTTTGTCCCCAAAACTGGTTTTTGAATTATGACCCTTTCAGCACCATCCTTTTTTCCCAGTGCCATGCGGCCGAGCAATAGGGTGGGCTCCCCCCCCAGCTCCCAGCCACAAAGGCTGGAAACATCTTCAGCGGAAGGGGGACATCTGCCCCAGGAGCTGCGCTCCCACCCACACCTGCAGCCTCGTGGTGCAGCTGCCTGCAGCAACTGCCCTCTCTGCCCTTGTGTGAGGAGGTGCTTCACCGGAGAGGAGACCTGCTAAGTGCTCAGCAGGTATTATTAGTCCGTCTCCTGACTGGGCAGCGTCTCCGGAAGCAGCAGCCCCCTGC